CTAAAAATTTTAATTAATCTTGGGAGTTCCTAAAGTCTATTAAACCTGGGGAAGAGGTGAGAGACAAGTATTTTTTTCGAATTAAAAAAAATGAGGATTCCTAGTGTCTTATTTTAAAGAGTGTCCAAAATTTCGAAGATTCCTTGTGACTCTATTTAAGAATTTGAAGGAATCTGGGGGATTCCTTGTGTCTTCTTTTTAACAATTTAAAAGAATCTTGGGGATTTCTGGTGTCTTCCTTTTTAAGAATTTCAAGAAACTCGGGGATTCCCAGTGTCCTTTTTAAAGAATTTAAAAAATCTCTCCATAACCCCTTGTATATTTTTCTTATGAGCTTGAAATAATTTTGAAAGCTCTTGGTGTCTTTTTCTAAACATTTAAATTAATCTTGGGGTTCCTAAAACCGCCTGAATGTGGATAGGAGGTGAGAGGCAAGTGAGTTTATTAACGAATTTACTAAAAAATTTCGGGGATTCCTTGTGTCTTCTTTTAAAAAATTTAAAAGAATCCTGGGAATTTCTAGTGTCTTTTTTTAAGAATATCAAGAACTTCGGGGGTTCCCAGCTTGCTTTTAAAAGAATTTAAAAAACTTTCAATAGCCCCTTGTACACATTTCTTACGAGCTTGAAAGGATTTTGAGAGCTCCTGGTGTCTTGTTCTGAAAATGTAAATTGATCTTTGGAGCTCCTAAATCCTATTAAATCTGGGGAAGAGGTGAGAGACAAGTATTTTTTTTTATAGTTTAAAAACAGATTATTCCTAGTGTCTTGTTGTAAAAAATGTCCAAAATTTCCGAGATTCCTTGTGACACGTTTTAAGAATTTGAAGAAATTCGTTGTATCTTCTTTTTACAATTTTAAAAAATCTGGAGGATTTATAGTGTCTTTTTTTAAGAATGTCAACAGCCTGGGGGGTTTACAGTGTCCTCTTTAAAGAATTTGAAAGACTCTCAATAGCCTCTTGTATATATTTCTTATGAGCTTGAAAGGATTTTGAAAGCTCCTGGTGTCTTCTAAAAATTTAAATTAATCTTGAGGTCTCCTAAGCATTTTGAATCTCGGGAAGGGGTTTTTTTAAAGAATTTACAAAAAAAGTTGCGGATTCCTAGTGTCTTGTTTTAAAGAATATCCAAAATTTCGGGGATTCCTTGCGACTCCTTTATGAATTTGAAGGAATGTAGGGATTTCTTGTGTGTTCTTTCAAACAATTTAAAAGAATCCTGGGGATTTCTAGAGTCTTTTTTTTAAGAATGTCAAGAACTTCGGGGGTTCCCAATGTCTTTTTTAAAGAATTTAAAAGCCTCTCAATATCCCCTTGTATATATTTCTTATGAGCTTGAAAGGATTTTGAAAGCTCATGGTGTCTTGTTCTAAAAATTTTAATTAATCTTGGGGGCTCCTAAAGCCTATTAAATCTGTGGAAGAGGTGAGAGACAAGGAGAGACAAGTATCGTTTTTAGAATTAAAAAAAAGAGGATTCCTGGTGTGTGGCTTTAAAGAATGTCCAAAATTTCGGAGATTCCTTGTATCTTCTTTTTAACAATATAAGGGAATCTTGGGGACTTCGAGTGTCTTCCTTTTTAAGAATGTCAAGAACCTCGGAGGTTCCCAGTGTCCTTTTTAATGAATTTAAAAGACTCTCGATAGCTCCTTGTATATATTTCTTACGAGCTTGAAAGAATTTTGAAGTTTAAAAAAAAATAGGATTCAAGACACTCCTTGTGGATGTCCAAAATTTCAGGGATTCCTTGCGACTCTTTAAGAATGTGAAGGAATCTGGAGGATTCTTTGTGTCTTCTTTTTAACAATTTAAAAAATCTTGGGGATTCCTGGCGTCTTTCTTTTAAGAATGTCAAGAATCTCAAGAACCACAAGTGTCGTTTTTTTAAGTGTTTGAAAGAATCAAGAGGGTCTCTATTGTCTTTTGTTTTAATTCGAAAGAATTTCGGAAGATTTTGGAGTGTGCTGTGTTATGAAGTTTAAAATTCCGACTGGGGGGGTCTCATTTTTAAAGAATGTTAAGAATTTGGGAGGCTCTTACTATTTTTTTTTTAATAATGTTAAAAAAAATTGTGATCTCCTGGTGGTTTATTTTTTAAAGAATTTGAAGAAATGCCTAGAGTCCATGCTATAAGGTTTTTCAAGAAACTGAAAGATTCTTGTCTACGTTTCACCCAATTTTTTATATAAACTTACAGAAGTCGTTATTAAAAAAAATAAAATCACAGATGTTTTTTAATAAATGTGAAATAAATATATTTGAAATTAATTTTATCACGGCAGTTAACACTAAATATACCCAATAACTCAAAATTGGTCAAATTAGTCCGACCATGAATCACTACTATCAAAAATATTGACATGAATAAGAATTAACCAACATTTGTTTAATTATCTCTACCAACAACGGAATGACATCATCTTCAAATATTACAATAGTAAATATTATTCATATTTTATACAATAAGGTACTCCTGCACTTGTGGTTTATGAATCCGTGTAACTAGATTTTTGAATAAAAGTCAGTTGTATAACATTTTACAATAAATCGTTAATTAACATTTATTTGCTAATGACTTTCCCAAAAAATGATGACGTCATCTTACGGACCTTTCTTCTATATTGAAGAGGAAAAATCGATCAAATTTCATTTTTTTTTGACACGAATGCCGTTGATGCTTGTTATTTGAACGTGCTAATAGTAAAATTATTTCGCAATATGGGGTGTTTTTTTATGTATCTTATAATTATAATTTTGTCCCGGCACCTCCACCATATTTGTACAAAAACTCATTGTCAAATTAGTCGACCCTTCAACCTCTACTCTGTTCGAACATAAAACATTGAAATAAGAAAATATCGCACACGTTTTGGAACTTCCTATATGCTATAGAGAGGACCCGGAAAATGAAATAAAATCAGTTATTCGGAAATATGCAAGAACAAAACATCTGGCTCTGGCAGTATCGTGGTTAAGGTGATTGAAAAATTTCAGACACTCAGTTATATTTAATATAGCTATTAACAGAGAGGCGAATTTTTTAAAGTTTAAAGTTTTTCGGTGAAGCACAAGGCTCCATCATGAAAGCTCTTATATTTTCAGTTTTAATGAACGATATAGAAAAAAATGTAAAAACAATTTTTCATTTCAGTGGACTCACTAATAGAACAAATTTTCTATCTGTCGAATGAATAAGCAAATTTTGCGCGACACTTGACACCAGCGATAGCAAAACCGAAAATAAAATTGCCACTTTGTTCTATTTTATGGACACGTAAATCCGCTTTCCTGGTTAAAAGTATCCAACAAACTTGCACTCGAACCTGGAATCAGCAACAGTTTTGAATTATAAAAACCCAGTGTTACAACGACAAGTACTCACTACAACAACCATTTATTTTTAAAATCACCCGTTTGCAACATCACTGAATCCAAACAGGACACTGTTTTGTAATCAAACACCGGCAACACAACTCTAGTTTGTCACCAAAAAAACCCGGAATTAATTGCCTCTCATCGATCCAACCCTACAAAAAATGAAACGTTCATAGTCGAACAATTAGCCCTCAAACCGCGTCTTAATTCAGCCCAAATGAGCCCAAACGCAATTAACAAATCTTTCCCGAACGGGAAGAAGCGAACGTCGATATCAAACCTCCCCTCGTGAATTTAAGCAAATTACGATTAAATTTAAATACTGCAAGGGCGCAACCCGAGCTTCCGGTTACTTCACAATTAAATCGCTGCCTGGAAAAAAGGCCGCCGCAGGCAAATATTGGCGAAAAACCTGAAATTAAGTTTGTACACAATGTAGATTTTTTGTGGGAATTTTTTACAAGCTTGGAGCGAATCCGTTTAAACTTATTCCGAGCCGATCCCGCCGAATTCAATTGGAGATGGATTCCTCTTGTCACATCCTTGTTAAAAGGGTTTGTCGCTCCGAAAAACAGTCCTCGGAAGGATTCGTTGCTTCCGTTTTATTAATTGAATCAATTAAGCGCCTTAGTTGAATGATCTCGCTACGTATAGGATAATTTCGATGGTAATCGTATTGTAACGGAGTTCGAGTTAACTATCGGTTGAGTTCTGAATGTCGACATGCAATTGACTTTGCGCGAGGATAATTAACAAAGCAGGAGTCTAGTTGAAAACTGAAGGGCTTCGGGAAAATTAATAACAATTAGTGTACGGAATTCTGGAGAGTTTAAAACGGAAACAATATATCACATACGGCAAGAAACAGCAGTTAGCAGCTGGTAATGTATATAGATTTAATTCATGGGTAAGTAAATTGAGGATATAAATAACTGCAGGAATAATTATAGGCTCGAAGGAGTAATCAAAGGATTACTCGATCCGTCTTTAACCGAAAACTAGAGATAGATTTTCTTTCCAATATGAAAACGTATTTGTATCGATAATGATACAAGCTCGAATGCGTTCTACTTTGTATAACGATTTTCCAAATAAATCCTCAAACGGGTGTTTGTTTCAATACGCGACGAAAACAATCAGATCACTTAATAGAAATAACAAAATAAATAAAGCACCTAGGAACTATTATCAATGTTATAAAAATCCTCTATCGAAGCATAAAATTGTAAACAACAGCAGTGGATAATACCACGTATTGTGAATATTTAGGATATTAAATCCGAGTAAGTGTCACCGAGACTGATAAAATCAATCATCAAATTACATTACGGCTGATGTAATAATTACAGAATGGTGGATATATGTCGATTTCGAAGTAATTTGTTTGATGAAATTATGTTGTATCCTACTCTAATCCGCAACAATGTATTGTAGTTGAAGTTGTAATTATTATCTATTTCAATGAATTATTAGACAGTCGAATATTGTGATTATTCATTTAATTATTTGGATTTGCTTGTTAATAAAGCTCACTGTGACGCGTTTGAAATGAGAGAATCAATCAATGAAACTGCGCACTACAATTTTTCTTCCTTTGAAGATTAATGTTGTTTGCGAGCACTTACCCTTTAGCTTGACTCGGACATTAATCCCAAGTAAAGATGTCGAAAGGTGCAAACATCTGGAAAAAGAAAAGTCAGATCAGAAAATTCAATCGTTGTACTAATATTTAAAAAAAGTTTTCGGTGTTTTTCATGCATGGTTCGGTTTTAAATTGAAAGAGATTTTTTTTCCTAAATATTTTTTCATGAAAATGAAAATTGAATGCGGCTTTTGATATAAACGAACCTCCGGCTAAATTCACGAACAATGAAAACTACCGATCCTAGACTAGAAATGGTGAAATCGTATACCATATACACAATAGACACTAAAACGCATGTAGCAACTCGGATATTACAAAACTCAAATAACACAGAACAAATTGTTAATGTAGATTCTCAAAAGAAAACTACATCTTAAACTTACAAGTAATGTTGATAAACTCGTATCCTAACATAGATAACGGTGTTCCATTTGAAAACAAAGTTTTATTTATTCAGCTTAATTACCTTTTCACTCTGTATATTGTAGTGTCCCGGTTTAAAATTTAATTTAGCACCAAGAAAAAGAAGAAACCAAGAAACCGCCTTTAAAAGAATATATCCTTTAAATAACGTAGACAACCCTCCATGTTTTTATGGGTTTTCTAATTTACCGTTGAAACCCTTGGATAGTGAGTCATTCTTTTGACTAGACAGCTAAATGGCCACTAATCTGGTGAATTCATTCATACCTTGTTTGTACTGCCAGGGGTAAAATTGTTACTTGGATGGTTTTCCTTCAGTTATTATTTCTTTTCGTAACTTCTCATTCAAATATTTAAAAATAATGCATTGATAATATGCACAATTCAATTTAAGCATTGATACATTTTGAGGGGAAGAACTTTGAAACTTACTAATTATTATCAGTTGAATTAGGATCATCGTGGACTCGAAACGGGAAAGAGAAGTTACTCTCACAGCGAAGTGTGTACATTTCACAATATTTAGGACAATTTCTATGAATATTTGAAAAAAAATCTCTGCGTTGTTCTTCTGCTGCGTCTTAATTTCCGAGCATAAGCTAAGGAAGTATTATAATCGAGTTACTGGTCACTTTCAGGATTTCTCGACGTTTCAGGACCCCTAGAGCTGGAAAAATGGGTCTCCCGTTTTTGTCTATCTGCCTGTCTGTGTCAGTCCGCCGTCTGTCCACATTTTTATTACCCAGATAATTTTCGAAACTACGGAGCCGATTGTTTTCAAATTTTGTATGTACGTTGGGAATATCATGTAGATGGTGAAACACTAACTAAAATTTATCTGCTCATCCCCATCAACAATGGAATGACGTCACTTCCAAATTGTACAATAGTAAATGTTATTTAAATTTTATGAAAAACGTATTCCACCAATTGTGGTTTATGAATCCGTCTTGAGTTTTTACCTTACTTATCCAGATTTTTTGAAAAAAAAACAAAACAACATTGTATAACATTTTACAATTTAACTTTGAAATTGCAAAATCCAATGCTTTGAAATCTTGCAAAACGTTTTTAGGCATCGAAATTTTTGGAAAAACATTTAAATTGTAGATATAAATTTTCCATTTTTTATTTTTTAGAATTTTTGATTTCTCATTTTCGATATTTCACTTTTGCGATTTTTTTCAGTTTTTCTGTTCTTCCATTTATCGATTTTTCAATTTTTAGATTGCCCGATGACTCAAGTCCTCGATATTTCAGTGTTGATATATTGCAAATTTTCGATTCTTTAATTTCCTGATTCTTCAAATTTTCGATTCCTCAATTTTTTCACTTTTCCGATGTTTCAATTTTACTATTGTTCAATTTTTCGATTCTTCAATTTTTTGGTTTTTAAATTTTTGGATTTTTTAATTTTTGACGTTTCTAAATTTTCCATTTTTTGACCGACTTTTCGATTTTTTTTCATTTGTCGTATTTTCAGATTTTCTATTTTTCGATGTTTCGATTTTTTAATTTTGAGATTTTTTTCAGTTTTCTTGTTCTTCAATCTATCGATTTTTAAGTTTTTCGATTTCTCGATTTTCAGTTTTTCGATGACTTAATTTTTCGATGTTTCAGTGTTGATGTGTTGCGAATTTTCAATTCTTTAATTTTTTGTTTTTTAAATTTTAGAAATTTTTAATTTTTGACGTTTCCAAATTTTCGAGTTTTCGATTTCTCAATTTCTCCATTTTTGAATTTTTCCATTTTTCGATTTACCGATTCTTGAATTTTCCATTTCACGATTTTTCAGTTTTTTTTTTAAGTTTTTAGTTTGTTGGTTTTTCAGTTTTTCGATTTTTAAAATTTCAGGTATTTTAATTACTTATTATTCGATTTTTCATTCCTTCGATATTTTTAATATTCAATTTTTTGATTTTTTGATTTCTCGATGTTTCGATTTTTTGACTTCTTTATCTCAGATTTTGCAGTGATTGAATTTTTCAAACTTTGGGTTTTCGATTTTTCCATTTTTCCATTTTTCAATTATTCGATTTCTCGATTTATTTATCGAGATTTCTATCTTTCGATCTTTCGATTTTGGGGTTTCCCAATTTTTCGGTTTTTCATCTTCTGGAACTTTTTCCAATTTTTCATTGTTTCGATTTTTCAATTTTTGGTTTCTCGATTTTCAGTTTTTCGATTATTCAATTTTTCGATATTTCAGTGTTGATATTTTGCAAATTTTTGATCCTCTAATTTCCCGATTCTCAAAGTTTTCGATTTCCCGATTTTTTCATTGTTTGGTTTTTTAATTTTCCGATGTTTCAATTTTACGATTTTTCGATTTTTCGATTCTGTAATTCTTTGATTTTGAAGTTTTTGAATTTTTTAATTTTTGCAGTTTCTAAATTTTCGATTTTTCGATTCCCCAATTTCTCGATTAATCGATTTTTTGATTTTTTGAATATTCCATTTCTCTATTTTCGACATTAGGGCTTCCCGATATTTTGATTTTTCCATTTTTCGATTTATTGACCTTGGATTTTTCGATTTCTCAGATTTTTTTAACTTTTTAGATATTTTGATTTCCCAATTTTTCGATTTCTCGATCTTTGGTTTTTCAATTCTTCAATTTTTCGATTTTTCGATTTTGTGGTTTCCCAATTTTTCGACTTCTCGATCTTTTTCAATTTTTTGACTTTTCAATTTTTCGATTTCATCATTTCTCTTTTGTAATTTTTTAATTTGTTAAATTTCTGTTTTTCGATTCTTTAATTTTCATATTTTTATTTTTTTAATTTTTTTAAGTTTCGATCCTTGGATTTCTCAAAGTTTTGATTGTTCAGTTATTTAATTTATCAACTTTTCGATTTTTAAAATTTTTCGTTTTTGATTTTTCAAGCTTTCGATTTTACGCCTTTGATGTTTAGATATTTTGATATCTCGGTTTATCGATTTTAAAAATTTTTCGAATATTCGAATTTTCATTTTGTTTCTATATTTCGATTAAAATTTTTTGATTTTTCTATTTCTCGATAGTACGATGTTTAAATTTTTCACTTTTTCGAATAATTGACTCTTGACTTCTTCGGTTTTCGATTTTCAGGATTTTTTTAACTTTTTAGCTTCTTGATTTTTCAATTTTTCGATTTTTATATTTTGAATATTTTGATTTCTCAATTTTTCGATTGTTCATTCCTTCGATATTTCCAGTTTTCATTTTTTTTTTATTTTTAAATTTTAGATTTTTCAATTTTTTATGCTTCCGAGTTCTCGATCCTTCGATTTTTTGACTTCTCAGTTTTAAATTTTTTGGTTTTTCAATTTTTCAAATTTTTTTTCGATTTTCCAATTTTTTAATTTTTCGGTTTTTCCATTTTTCAATTTTTCGATTTCTTGATTTATCGAGATTTCTGTTTCGATCTCTCGATTTTAGTTTTTCAATTTTAAATTTTTCGATTTTTCGATTTTGGGGTTTCCCAATTTTTCGACTTCTCGATCTTTTTTCAATTTTTTGACTTTTCAATTTTTCGATTTTCGATGTTTCGATTTTTCAATTTTTGATTTCTCAATTTTTCATCATTTCTCTTTCGGAATTTTTTAATTTGTTAAATTTTCTGTTTTTCGATTCTTTTATTTTCAGTTTTTTTTTTATTTTTATTTTTTAATTTTTAAAATTTGGATCTTTGGATTTCTCAATTTTTTGGTTTCTCCGTTTTCGAATTTTTGAACATCTCGGCTTTTCAATTTTTCGGTTATTAATTCTTCGACATTTTTTTGCAGTTTCTCGGATTTTAAAACTTTTGATTTTTCAGTTATTTAATTTTTCAACTTTTTCGTTTTTGATGTTTCAAGCTTTCGGTTTTACGATTTTTGATGTTTAGATATTTTGATATCTCGGTTTTTCGATTTTAAAAATCTTTCGAATTTTCGATTTTTTTTGTTTTTCTATATTTCGATTAAAATTTTTTGATTTCTCTATTTCTCGATGGTACGATGTTTAAATTTCTCATTTTTTCGAATAATCCACTCTTGACTTTTTCGATGTTTCGATTTTCCAGATTTTTTTTCATCTTTTCAGCTTCTTCATTTTTCAGTTTCTCCATTTTTAAAATTTTGGACATTTTGATTTCTAAATTTTTCGATTTTTTATTCTTTCAATATTTCCAGTTTTAATTTTTTTTAATTTTTAAATTTTAGATTTTTCAATTTTTTTATGTTTACGACTTCTCGATACTTCGATTTTTTGACTTCTCGGTTTTAGATCTTTCGGTTTTCCAATTTTTCCAATTTTTGAATTTTTCGGTTTATCCATTTGTCAATTTTTCGATTTCTCGATTTATCGAGATTTCTTTGTTCGATATTTCGATTTTTTAATTTTTCATTTTTTTGGTTGTTCAGTTTTAAACTTTTGGATTTTTCGATTTGGGGGTTATTTCGATTTCCCAAGTTTTCGATTTTTTGACTTCTCCATCTTTTTTCAATTTTTCAACTTTTCAGCTTTTTGATTTTCCAATTTTGCGATGTTCCGTTTTTTTAATTTTTGATCTCTTCCTAATTTTTCATCATTTCTGACTTGGATTTTTTTAATTTCAAAATTTTTCAGTTTTTCGATTCTTTAATTTATA